TTGAGCATTCTTTCATGTGTTTGTTGGCAGTCTGTATATCTTCTTTGGAGAAATGTCTATTTAGGTCTTCTGCCCATTTTTGGATTGGGTTGTTTATTTTTTTGTTATTGAGCTGCATGAGCTGCCTGTAAATTTTAGAGATTAATCCTTTGTCAGTTGATTCATTTGCAAATATTTTCTCCCATTCTGAGGGTTGTCTTTTGGTCTTGTTTATGGTTTCCTTTGCTGTGCAAAAGCTTTGAAGTTTCATTAGGTCCCATTTGTTTATTTTTGTTTTTATCTCCATTACTCTAGGAGATGGGTCAAGAAGGATCTTGCTGTGATTTATGTCATAGAGTGTTCTGCCTATGTTTTCCTCTAAGAGTTTGATAGTTTCTGGCCTTACATTTAGGTCTTTAATCCATTTTGAGCTTATTTTTATGTATGGTGTTAGGGAGTGATCTAATCTCATACTTTTACATGTACCTGTCCAGTTTTCCCAGCACCACTTATTGAAGAGGCTGTCCTTTCTCCACTGTACATTCCTGCCATCTGTATCAAAGATAAGGTGTCCATATGTGCGTGGGTTTATCTCTGGGCTTTCTATCCTCTTCCATTGATCTATATTTCTGTTTTTGTGCCAGTACCATACTGTCTTGATTACTGTAGCTTTGTAGTATAGTCTGAAGTCAGGGAGCCTGATTCCTCCAGCTCCATTTTTCTTTCTCAAGATTGCTTTGGCTATTCAGCGTCTTTTGTGTTTCCATAAAATTGTGAAATTTTTTGTTCTAGTTCTGTGGAAAATGCCATTGGTAGTTTGATAGGGATTGCATTGACTCTGTAGATTGCTTTGAGTAGTAGAGTCATTTTCACAATGTTGATTCTTCCAATCCAAGAACATGGTATATCTCTCCGTCTATTTGTATCATCTTTAATTTCTTTCATCAGTGTCTTATAATTTTCTGCATACAGGTCTTTTGTCTCCTTAGGGAGGTTTATTCCTAGATATTTCATTCTTTTTATTGCAATGGTAAATGGGAGTATTTTCTTGATTTCACTTTCAGATTTTTCATCATTAGTATATAGGAATGCCAGAGATTTCTGTGCATTAATTTTGTGTCCTGCTACTTTACCAAATTCATTGATTAGCTCTAGTAGTTTTCTGGTAGCATCTTTAGGATTCTCTATGTATAGTATCATGTCATCTGCAAACAGTGACAGCTTTACTTCTTCTTTTCCGATTTGGATTCCTTTTATTTCCTTTTCTTCTCTGATTGCTGTGGCTAAAACTTCCAAAACTATGTTGAATAAGAGTGGTGAGAGTGGGCAACCTTGTCTTGTTCCTGACCTTAGTGGAAATGCTTTCAGTTTTTCGCCATTGAGGATGATGTTGGCTGTGGGCTTGTCATATACGGCCTTTATTATATTGAGGAAAGTTCCCTCTACACCTACTTTCTGCAGGGTTTTTATCATAAATGGGTGTTGAATTTTGTCAAAAGCTTTCTCTGCATCTATTGAGATGATCATATGGTTTTTCTCCTTCAATTTGTTAATTTGCATTCCTGGAATAAACCCCACTTGATCATGGTGTATGATCCTTTTAATGTGCTGTTGTATCCTGTTGATCCTGGATCTTGATCATGGTGTATGATCCTGGATTCTGTTTGCTAGTATTTTGTTGAGGATTTTTGCATCTATGTTCATCAGTGATACTGGCCTGTAGTTTTCTTTCTTTGTGACATGCTTGTCTGGTTTTGGTATCAAGGTGATGGTGGCCTCGTAGAAGGAATTTGGGAGTGTTCCTCCCTCTGCTATATTTTGGAAGAGTTTGAGCAGGATAGGTGTTAACTCTTCTCTAAATGTTTGATAGAATTCGCCTGTGAAGCCATCTGGTCCTGGGCTTTTGTTTGTTAGAAGATTTTTAATCACAGTTTCAATTTCAGTGCTTGTGATTGGTCTGTTCATATTTTCTATTTCTTCCTGATTCAGTCTTGGCAGGTTGTGCATTTCTAAGAATTTGTCCATTTCTTCCAGATTGTCCATTTTATTGGCATAGAGTTGCTTGTAGTAATCTCTCATGATCGTTTTTATTTCTGCAGTGTCAGTTGTTACTTCTCCTTTTTCATTTCTAATTCTGTTGATTTGAGTCCTCTCCCTCCTCTTTTTCTTGATGAGTCTGGCTAATGGTTTATCTATTTTGTTTATCTTCTCAAAGAACAAGGTTTTAGTTTTATTGATCTTTGCTATTGTTTCCTTCATTTCTTTTCCATTTATTTCTGATCTGATTTTTATTATTTCTTTCCTTCTGCTAACTTTGGCATTTTTTTGTTCTTCTTTCTCTAATTGCTTGAGATGCAAGGTTAGGTTGTTTATTCGAGATGTTTCCTGCTTCTTAAGGTGGGCTTATATTGCTATAAACTTCCCTCTTAGAACTGCTTTTGCTGCATCCCATAGGTTTTGGGTCGTCGTGTCTCCATTTTCATTTGTTTCATTTGTTTTCATTTGTTTCTAGGTATTTTTTGGCTTCCTCTTTGATTTCTTCAGTGATCACTTCGTTATTAAGTAGTGTATTGTTTAGCCTCCGTGTGTTTGTATTTTTTACAGATCTTTTACTGTAATTGATATCTAGTCTGATAGCCTTGTGGTCGGAAAAGATACTTGATACAATTTTAATTTTCTTAAATTTACCAAGGCTTGATTTGTGACCCAAGGTATGATCTATCCTGGAGAATGTTCCATTAGCACTTGAGGAAAATGTGCATTCTGTTGTTTTTGTATGGAATGTCCTGTAAATATCAATTAAGTCCATCTTGTTTAATGTATCATTTAACGCTTGTGTTTCCTTATTTATTTTCATTTTGGATGATCTGTCCATTGTTGAAGGTGGGGTGTTAAAGTCCCCAACTATGAATGTGTTACTGTCGTTTGCGCCTTTTATGGCTGTTAGTATTTGCCTTATGTATTGAGGTGCTTCTGTGTTGGGAGCATAGATATTTACAATTGTTATATCTTCTTCTTGGATCGATCCCTTGATCATTATGTAGTGTCCTTCTTTGTGTCTTCTAATAGTCTTTATTTTAAAGACTATTTTGTCTGATATGAGAATTGCTACTTCAGCTTTCTTTTGGTTTCCATTTGCATGGAACATCTTTTTCCAACCCCTTACTTTCAGTTTGTATGTGTCTCTAGATCTGAAGTGGGTCTCTTGTAGACAGTATATATATGGGTCTTATTTTTGTATCCATTCAGCCAGTCTGTCTTTTGGTGGGACCATTTGATCCATTTACGTTTAAGGTAGTTATTGATATGTATGTTCCTATTCCCATTCTCTTAATTGTTTTGGGTTTGTTATTGTAGGTCGTTTCCTTCTCTTGTGTTTCTTGCCTAGAGAAGTTCCTTTAGCAGTTGTTGTGAGTGCCGGTTGGCACCGATCCTCTGTGCAGGAGTCTCTTTGCTTTGCCCTCCACACCCCTGTTGCTGTGCTCTCTTCCGCGGCTCCGAAGCTTCCCCGTCCGCCACCCGCAGTCTCTGCCCGTGAAGGGGCTTCTAGTGTGTGGAAACCTTTCCTCCTTCACAGCTCCATTCCCAAGGTGCAGGTCTCGTCCCTGTTCTTTGTCTCTGCTTTTTCTTTTTTCTTTTGCCCTACCCAGGTACGTGGGGAGTTTCTTGCCTTTTGGGAGGTCTGAGGTCTTCTGCCTGCATTCGGTAGGTGTTCTGTAGGAGTTGTTCCACGTGTAGATGTATTTCTGGTGTATCTGTGGGGAGGAAGGTGATCTCCGCATCTTACTCTTCTGCCATCTTCACGGAAGCCCTTCCAGGGCAGTCCCCAGCAACGGTCCTCTGCCCTGGTGTCCTTCTAGGCAATAGAATGAGGGAGAGTTTGGTTCAGAAGCAAAGGAAAGTTTTATTCTTTGATCAAAGAATGGAGAGGAACAGGCTCACACTCTAGAGCACACACGCTCCCTAAAGCATTTTTCAGTATGAGGAATATATAATCATGGTTCTCTCATTGTCCAGAACTGGGTCACGCGGCCACGTGCAGCAGCAGTAGATACTGACTTCTTCTTCTCTGGGCTCCGGCCTGCTGTCCCCACGACTGTTGTGGCTTTGGCCGCTGGGGCCCCTCCAGAGACGGCAGCCTCAGTGAGGCTGCCCTCCCCTCGGGCTCCGGGGCAGTTCCATAACGGTGAAGGGAAGAGACCCTGAGCCGGGATTTCCAGCTCTGTGGAAACGCGGGCTCTGTTCTCTAATTATTTGTTTTTACAATACGTTTTCCATCTATGTGTGTCTTTCTAAGCAAGGTGTTTAGTTTTCCTGTGGATTCTTCACTAGTTTTCATGAAATCTTACAGCACCAGGAAATGCTTTATTTTGTAAGAAAGCAGATTGTCAGCCTGTATTCCTCTGCTTCTGGACAGCAGAAAGGGGGAGAGAAGTAGGCAAATGAACCTTGCTTTTGCAATTCTTATTAGGACCAGCAGGTGGCAGTTAAGTGACTAAAATTGGGAAAGTGTTAGTGGTTAAAGAGATTGGAGAATAGTAATTGTACCCAAACTGGATATGAGAGTCTGTAGTTTGTGGATGTCTAAGCTCTGTATCCGGATAGACTCAAGGTAAATATAAATACCCTATCTACCCACACTTCACTTTCAGAAACTTTTCAGAAAGGTTTTATAATACTTAGAGTGGGTAATTTAAAACTATATCTTAAAATGGCATCATGCAGGAAATCCTAGTAGAAGGGGGCACCGAACTGGAAGAAGGTTGGTGTGACCTTGGTTCATTAGTGCCCTCCTGTCATCTGGCCATGTTAGGTTGGATCCGTATCCTGTCTGTCCAAGAGAGTGACCTATAAATGCAAATATTCAACAGTCCTAATAGCATAATTGACAGTTTTATGATGAAATATTTAAATGAGTGCTGAAATATTTAGGAATTAATATGACTTCCTAAAGGCCTTTAATTGTTATATAAAAATTAAGCTCTTTTTGCTTCCTGACTCATTTTCCTTTTGTCTCACAGCAATACTTTACGAGTCACCCGTTCTGCTGCCCCCAGCATACTGGACAGTTCTAGCACTGCCACTGCTCAGCTGGGAAAGAAAGGCAAAGAATTTGAATTCTCACAGTTGCCCCTCAAAGTGGAGTTCCTGGAGTGCAGTGCCAAGGGCGGAAGAGGGGACGCTGGCTCTGCTGACATCCAGGACTTGGAGAAGTGGCTGGCTAAAATCGCCTGAGGGCCAGATCCAAACACAAGGCGCAATTGTGTATGTGTGTGACTGCCAGTTTTGGAAAAGGATGTGGTGGTCTGGAGTTGATAAAGAAGGGGTACAAATATAGTTAGGAACTTTTCCTTGTTCTGGAAACAAATTATTGTTGAAACCAGTGTGGAAGTTTTTAAGTTCAGTTCTCCCTTATTGCTTTCAAGCTAGTTAGTTTTATTTGATTCGTATCTTCCCTTTTCAAAGTGTATGTAAGGTCCCTTTAGCATATGCTTGATGTAAGGTCAAGGTCTAACAAGCCGACCTCACGTAGAGAGGATATTATCATGAGAATATAGTATCATCTAAAATGTTTTATTGTCCTCTGCTTCTGTGCTTTGGTCTCTTTTTCCTGGAAACAAACCTGTCTGTATATGGAACTGGGTGATTTCCAATTGCCTTTGACATTCATGGGCAGTACCTCATCTAGTCCTCTGTGAATTTTCAGATTTGTAGGTGCAATTACAATATGGTCTCTGACATGTGAAGGAAGGTTGAAAACAGCAGGGCTGTGTTGACAGTGGTCTGTTCTTCATCAGCTCAGTGACTTGTTCACACTCCAGCTTCATAGCACTTAGGTTTCAAAAACATGTTGTGAACCCTAGGAGTCGTCCCCAGGTGATAGAACTATAAGTGCTAAATCCCCAAATGCCACTAAAATGTACACAAGAAATGTTCATTCTAGTGGTTTCCCTTAACTGGGGAATATATGGAGATTTAGAAGCTGTTCTGTTTTTCTGGATGCATGAATGCTCCTGGGCTATCTTCATGTGCTGTTTGATGAGCTCCTATTTTGTACTGTCAGCTTGAATGCTGTGGAACAAATACAAAATGAAAAAAGTTCTCTGTAGATTTTTAAAGTGCATATTCACTGATGGTTTAAAAAAAATGGCGTTTTCAAAGTGATGTTCTTTGCTGTCTTCTTAAATGTATGGCTTTTTAAATGGCTTTTATAAATGATTAATACATTTCTTGGTAAACAAAACAGCCTGTCTAGGTTAAAGCATTTAAATAGAGTGGTAGAGTAGGTACAAATGGGAGCACGTTTTAGGATTCAGGCCCAACTCCAAGTTTCCAGGGCCTAATGATTGCAGTGTACATAAGAAGAAACTCTTCAATCCCTAGCTCACACACTCAGGGACAAGCCAACTAAAGCCTGAAAGGAGACAAGGGTGACTGTGGATAAGTGAGACACTAATCGCAGAGCAGTGCGGGAAGTGCAGTTAAACAGGAGAGGTGCAGGGCGCTCCAGGAGTGTGCAGTGGGGCACCTAACCCAGTCTTGAGGGATGGGGAGAGGCAAAGGAGAAAAGCATGGAGCTGATGACGTCCCAGTGAGTGTGGCCCCCACGTACATACACTACGGCCCAGGCCTCTGCCTGCTGTCTCCCCTTCCTGTGTGTCACTCTGGCTCCGAGTGAGGGGATCCCCGGGCCCCTCCTCCCCTGCCCGCACACCCTGTATCACACACCTTGCTGCTGGAGTATGAAATAAACCCAAGCTCACGTGGAGAAGACGTTAAGAGTATGACCGTGGCAGGGTTCTTACTGGTAAGCCTCACTGCTGCTAATGTTATTACTGTCTTTTGGACTCTTTCTTGCCCTTTTCTTATTAGCCAAGTAGTAATTTAAGGAAGTGGGTAAGATCAGTGAACCGGAAGCCCAAAAGGAACGTGATGAATGTGACATGTTCACATAATCATAGGTAATGCTCACCTGAATAAACATCAATGGCTTGATGCTTCCGTTAAGAGGCATGTGTGTTCTCTCAGCTATTTTGTTATTTTTTTCTGGTAATAAACTGTTTTACTTTATTGGAGGAAGCAATACACAGAGCAAGTGACTTGAAGAAGGGGAGCAAGGTTGAATTTTATTCAAGACCTAAAGATGATCTTTTGCAAAAGGAAAGTTATGTCTCAAACAGTGATTCTCAGATGTTAGTGTGCATCAGAATTAACTGATGCTTGTTAAAGAGCTCACCTGAGGACCCTGCTTCTGAACATTCAATTCAGCAGTAGATCAGGTGTGGTCTCAGGAATCTGCATGCTTAACGTGACCTCTACGAAGCACCTGGGGCTCCTGGGCGCACCCTCACAGATGATGTGGCCTCCTGTAGTATCATGCGTGCCTTTAGTGTGTTTCGTTTCTAAGTTCTTTGGACCACAAGCCCTGTGTAGTTTTGCTCACAGGGTGAAGGAAGTAGGCAGGTCGCCTAGTCCCATCTTGCTTCCTAACCCTGTGCCACAGTCATCCCACTCTTGTGGGTCTGGGCCAGGGTTAGATCATGGTGACTAGTCCTTGGGAGCTTGGAAGGGTTTTCAGTGGGAGGTCAAATTATTTTCTTGTGGCACTGAACCCGTTCAGCCAAAGTAGGCCCATTTCTTCATGGGATGGGAGGCAAGTATGGCCAGAGTGGAAAGAGGGATGTCAGGTCATGGGGACCAGCAGACTAGGCATGACTGTGTGTCACAGGTGAGACAGCTGTGGCTTGAAACACCTCCTTGGGAACACGGCAGTGTCTGAGCCACTGCATGTTGGGGCCGCTGAGACCTGCTCCCAGGGCAGCTGCCACCTGATGTGAATGGCCCTGTGCCCTGCTGGGGGAGAGGGGCAGGAGTGGTGTGGTGCCGGTGTGGAGACAACTGTGACGAGCAAGCCCTGGGCACTCACTGTCCTGGTACATACCACCCGCTTCCGGAATGGGGTCTCCGTGGGTACCGAGCACACCCGCAGACCGAGGCCGCCTGTTTCTTCCAGCTCTTTCAACACTTTCCGAGCATTTTGGGGCCTGGTAGCCCCTCTGCTGCCAGGTGCCTGACGGTTTGCTGGGATCTTAGCTCCTGACCAACGACAGCTGCTATTGCTGGGGAGTCCCTGAGGTCTGCTCCTTAGATTTCCCCACGCCCTGTGTCTCAGCGCCCCTGGGATTCCGGTGGTCCTGCTGTGTGTGAGGCACTTGGCTGTGTTCTGTTGGTTTGAGATCGTTTCAGCCAGAATGTTATGCTTTTTTTTTTTTTTCTTTCCTAAGGTTTGAATTTAGAATGGAATTATCAAAGCTTCAACTGGTTATGCCCATTCTCACCTAAAGGTGCATTAGCAGCAGTTTAGATGCTAACCTCTTCTATTTCAGCCCTTCAGTTACTTAAAGGAAGGTGGTTGGTTACCTCGCCTGACTTCTGCACAGGCCAGTAGTCCCACTTCCTTTTTCAACTACGAAGCCCTAAACTGTTGACTACTCACAAGAGCCGTGTATGGCGTTTATTCATTCGGAAAACGCCAGGCACCGTACCCAGCTCCGGGAATACTAAGTATGGCACAATTCCTGCTTTTATGGGCATATGGTCACTTTCTGAGGTGAAGAAATGTGCCCTTTCCATGCGGCCCCTGCTCTCCCCTCATTAGCATGGGCTCCATCTTAGCTGTACTGAACTGCCCCCCCTCCCCTCACTGCATGGGCCCCAAGGTCAACTGCCTCAGGGCTGCCCTCACCTTCGCCCTTTCTCGTGCTGCTGCGCCACCCTTGCAGCCTCAACCTGACCCGTGTCTCAGTGTCTCCTGCGATCCCAGCATCCACCCTGTGGTCCTGTCGTGGGTGAGGCACTTGGTGTTCTTTTGACTTAAGAGCTTTTTGTTTCAACTAAGATATGCTTTTTTAAAAAATTTGCAGTTAGCACAGGATTATCAAAGCTCCTGTCTGCACCCTTGGTCACTGGACAGCAAAACACAGCTACAGTGATAGGGAAAGCCACCTTGAGCGACATCCCTTGATGGCAAGCAGGGCACTCCAGGTAGGACGTTCACCATAACCTTAATCTTCACATTCACGTCTGGGGAAGCCCAACAGTGTTTCCTTCACCCGCGGGGGAAGGGGCTGCTGGACGTCCGTGTAAGCATGTAAGCACCATGCTCAGGGAGATGACCCACTCCCCTTCCTGTCTGCAGTCATGTGGCCCTGAACACCACGGTCTTGGGGAATGACTGCTTGTCTGAAACAGCTTTACTCTGGCTTTGATCTGGTCCGTACAAGCACGTGCACTTCAGCTCTCAGGCCTCTGCCCCCTGACAGGCCCGGTACCTCCTCTACCTTACAGTTTACACCTGGCAGCCAGGAAAGTTAGGCTCAGTGGGCAGGGACACCTATTCTCTGTTCCTCCTAATCAGAGATGGCTTCCTTGAGGTGGCAGATTGGAGGGTGTTCCAGAAACACTAGTACCTTTAAAGGGGAAAGATAATTAGTGAAGTTGAACTTGAGGAAGAATAAGACCTGGTGAGCTTGGCTTTCCCTGTAGCCCCGGGATTCCCAGCATTCTCAGGCCAGGGCAACTCTGGGCCTAGTCTTGGCCTTCGTGTCCTCTTTGGGTTGGTCCGACCACTCTCCTGGCCTTCAGGGCATTTTTTAGTCTGGAGGTGACTGAGACCTGAAGGGCTGTCTCAGGGAGGTTCTCTGATTGGTGTGGGGTGACGCTGGAGGGATACGAGGCAGCTTAGTGTCATCTGAAAGGTGATTATGGTTCACCTTGAATTCTTGCCTTTAAATACTTTCTAGAAATCACCGGAAGGGAGATCCAGCCCCTGTACCCACCCTTCCTAACCCTCATCCATGGCGAGTGGAAAGCAGGGATGACAGGAATCACACAGCCCTGAGTCTCAGTTCTGCCTGAAGTTTCCATCAGCCTTTAGGCAGAATGGAGATTATGGAAGTGAGTGTGGATTTAATCTTATTAGTGGGTCCTGCCTTTTCCCCCTTCTGAATTGGAAAGCCCAGGTGAACAGAAGGGAGAAGCAAGGGGTTTTGGATGGTGAACACACCACCAAGATATGAGAGGAGGGTCTTCGTGGAGAATGCACTTGAAGAAACCTGTGTTGTCCACACCACGCCCCGCCCCCCCACCCATATGTGACTGCACCATTTAGAAGCATTAGACAAGAGCCTTTGTGTTGAGAATTAGGACAGTTTATTGTTTGATCAACATGCTGAGTCTTCCACATTTTACACAGATTTATGTAAAGTCAATGTGGCCATTTAAATCTGCTGAGCCAGTGAGAGATGGAAATGCCACCCTCTGTGCTCCTCACGGCCAATCACTTTTATGGGAACGGGCGAGGGGGAAGGTGACACACACGTG